TGCCTTCGCCGCACAGCCCGAGGGGGGGGGGGTTGGCTGGCTGCGGTGTTCCCCCCCCCAACTCCCCCACCCCACCCCACCACGGCTCGGCCCTCCACGGGGCTTTGCTAAGAGAACCACAGGTGTGGCTCCAAATGAAACCGGTGCTGAGGGGGCTGGGGACCAAGAGGAAAGGCAGAATGCTTCTCTTCTCTCTTCCAGTTTGAATCTGACCCTTCAGCAAACCCGGCCTCCTCCCTCATTAATCATTGTCTCCTATCCTATGACAAAAAGGGGAAATGAAGTGCATGTCCTTCACAGATGCTACATCCCAACCAATCATACTCAGAAGAAAAGGTCAGCAAGAGCAGCCGCCAAAACAAACAAACAAACAAACAAACAGAAATGGCCCATTTGTATCCCCTAAGATGAAAGCATTTTAGGAACTTTGATTGGTAACAGTAAGATAAGTGAATACTGTTTATAGTGAATAGTTTTTGGAAATCATTTCATAATAAAAAGTGAAACATTAAATGTGAAGGGATTACTCGGTTTCTAGCAGCCCAAAAGGTACTATGTATGACATCACTAGGTCATATTTTTCAAAAAGGTGAAGCTAAAGGAACATACTTAACCACAGTATAAATGATTAAAGCACAAACCACTCACTACTCTTTTTTTTCTTTTTAAGGGGAATGTTTAGAAAGACTGATAACGTTTAAAAAAAATTACCAGTATTCTTAAAAACCGAGACCACTAAGAAAGCATTTAATTTCTTCCCATTACTCCTGCAATCCAAACCAATCGTATTTATGTTCTATTGTATATCAGAGCTGTTTCACAAGACAGGAGCTCAGAGGAGGCCACCGTCTCCACGTAGGGAAGAATTAATGGGGCAGCAGGACTTATCGGCCACTTCTTTTTGGTTTTTTTTTCGGCCACTTCTTTTACTGGAGAGGAAAAATAAATCCATTTTACCCAGGCCCTTCATCTGATGACCATCCATGACTACCCCACCTTCCCAAAAGAAGCCGTAACGGGGCCTCAGTGAATATCCAGCAGATTCTATCACTGCTCTGAGATGCTGTCACCTCTCACCTGGATTTACCTCTCTCCTGTTCACACACTGACAATCTATTCTCAATAAGCCTCAAGAAGAGAGTTGGAGCCCTGCGGCGGAGTCCAGGGAAGACAGGAGCCAGGGTGCTACTCACGTCGGTTTTCATACATGCTCCTGGACTGGGCCCAGATTTTAAAAGGATCTGGTTTTTTCTGCCCAGAGCTGTCAGTCTGATCTGGAGCCGGGGCCTCGGCGGGTGGGAACTCGGGTAGCACCTGTGTGCCGTGGCTGGGAGAGGCTGTGTGCAGGCTTCGGTGGCTGGCAGCACTGTGCTGGGAGCTATTCTGGCTGTCTTTTCTTTCCAATGGTTGCTGAAAGGAAGCGAGTGAGAGGGGCAAGAAGAGATTATTATTGGTTCCCGGAGTGGGTGTTTTCCATCAGCTTGTTTTTGTTCAGCACTTCTGCACACACATACATAAATTTATCAACAACATTTTGGCTTCCACCTTCGGCTCATGCTGAATGCAGGTAAATCCCCTGGGGACTGGCAGACAGATAGAGGGGTGGACCAGACAGAAGGACATCATGGTAAACCATACCGCTTTCAGGGCTGGAGCAGAAAACAAATCCAATTTTCATCACAGGTTCTCAGCTAAGTCACTGGGCTCATTTATTACGAGATGTACTCGTTTTAACATCTTCATTTTTAAACCAAACATGTGACACAGAATACCACGCGTGGTTTAAGTGGAAAGCTAGAATATCCGGAAGAAATACAATCAGGGCTAAAAATGCTCCTTGGGACTCCAGATTTTCCCTTTTTCAGTAGTAAAATACCCAACTTCTTGCTAAGGATTTACCATCAGTCCTGCTGGCCTGTAAGAAACATGGATCATATCTTTAAAAAATCATGCCTAGCATTATGTGTGCACTTGTACTTACAAGTATATAAAAAACTATTATCTGAAGAGCTTTCATAATTCTTAGTGAATCAATTTTGCAGACATCGCATTACACCTCTTGATCTCCTGATACTACTGTTGGTTGAAAACCAAGATCCAACTTTATATATGGGTTGACCTCGGGGGATCAGCCTTCTTAGATTTGCAACTTGTCCAAACTCCGAGTAGTAGTCAAAGGCAAAGAATTTCATTTCAATTTCAGCAGAATAAGTAGGAGGTTCCTGCTCCTTAAATTCTGCTCAGCTGAAGACCCCTCCCATTTTAGGAGATGTTCTTTGTCGGAAGGGCCATTGAATCAACAGCAAAATCTAGTCGGAGGAAAAATACTGCATGGGAAATAAAATAAGTTCAGCTCTTATTTTCTCCAGTGAAAGATGTGGTACGCCCAGGTGTTTAGTTCCCCCCATTCAAAAGAAAAATCCTGGAGTCCTGTCTCTCACACAACAGACGCCACGTCACTACACTTAACTGCTTCAGAGCATTGTAAAGGGGCATCTCCAGCCTGTCTTATAGATCCTGTAGAGCTTATGATTTTTGAGTAGTATATAAGATCTCTGACCTAGACATTCTAGTTCCCTAAAGCTCTTTATAGTGTCAAAATCTTGCCCTCAGTCTTGCAATCAGTCCTATCATACCGTTCTTCCTTATTCTCTCCCCCAGGTAGCCTCCATCTTCCATTCACATCTCCGTGGAAATTTCCAAGGTCCCATTCATTTACTTCTCAGGTCCCTCTACTCCTTCCCTTCCAGTCCTTGCTTTGAAATAAGCATTGAAGTAAGGCCAAGGAGGACAAAAACTTCATTTTCCCTTGACTGTTCAGATCACAGATCTGAAGACAGGTTTTAGCAAGGATTCAAAGTCGAAAATTGGGCATGTATTTCACGAAGGTAAGACAGACCCTTTAAACTTATACTTGATGTGCCTGTGGGAGAAACGTGAGGACCATATTCTAAACTAGCAAAGAGGTCTTGGGAACCACCTATATGAGGGGTTTAATTCACTCAGACTCAAGGGGACATCATACTCTGGGTGAAGAGGTCAGGAAAACACACCGATGTTTGGTCAGGGACAACCATCACCATTACCCCACATCACCAGCGCTCCCTTTTGAGGATCAAGGGCTCCACTCAGACTTGGATGGATCCGCATTCCGAAGACTTGGGACAGAACCTGGTTCTGCCAACTTCCAACAGGGTCCTCCCCAAGGTGAATTCGGCTCTCGGGGCCAGCTATCCCCTTTCTATTCCCTAAGAAGGTCAAAACCTGCCTTCTTGCTTCCCCTGGGGACATGCTGAAGATTTTCAGAGCCAGAAAAACATTAACGAAGGATACAATCCCCGTTCCCTTTTGCACGAGCGTGGGAATTTGTTTTCCTCTTCACCACGGTCTTTGTCAGGGTCTCCATTATAAACAAGCATGTGTAGTGTACACACCTCAGCATAAATAGAAAAAAAGATGGGTTCTGGGTGGGTTTTCTCCCTCTTATACTTTCCTGTACTGCCTACTTCTTATTTTTATAATGTACAGAGAATGTTTTTTATAATCAAGACCAAATGTAAAGCTGTTTTCATTTAGAAATGAACCTTGGTAAGGAGAATTAATGGGACTGTTACTTTCTATTTTTTTACATTTTGGTCATGTTTTGGGTCTGCTCTCCTCTTGGAAGGGCAGGAAGAAGGTATTTTAAAAGTGAAAGCAAATAATTCAACGGATGAAGGACCTCTGGATTAACCATGAGAGTTTCACCCCTCTGCAAATGACCACCCTCGCCGGGTTTTTCAGATGAGTAGCAAACGCTAGATGTGGGGTTGGTCCATTGACACTAAGTTCATTTCACGGTTAGAGTCGGTCTCTGACTGTGGAAGCTCCAGTCTCCTTCGTGCAGAGGTTCCTCTTCACAAAGCCTCACCAGGACCCTGTGAGCCGCACTGCGGGATTACCTGAGGGCAACCACACAATCTTCTTTTTCTTCCTTTCCTGGGGATACTCGGTAACCTCTTGAAATGTAACCTCTTCCAATCACTGCCTCTTCCTGAACAGGAGAGAAATACCTTACCGGCAACCCTGTCCCACTGAGAGAGTCTGGACCTTTCTCCAGCAGCGAATGCACAGGCGCTTTTACAGATACACCCACAAATGCAGGCACACAGACTCTGTATGTCACCTCAGGGGTTTCCAAGACCCTTCGATGGCTGTCCCAGTGTAACAAATCTGACACAGAGGACCTGGAAATCTCAAGTTTAAATGAAGAGACAGCTTCACCATAACCAAAGGGTGCAAATGAAATTTACCAGAAATGGCTTGGGCTGTTTAAAAACTTTTATCGCCTTTTCTCACCTTCCCCATAAAGGACGCATTTAGGTCCAATTTATCACAAGATGACAGATACAGTCTGGACAGTGTCTACAAAACTGCCTCTCCATCAAACTGCACCTCTGCATCCCCTTTGAATGCCATCTAAACTTTGCTCCTAAATTTGGAAGATAAAAGTACAGCAGCATCCTGAGAATATGCTCTAAAAACTTGGCCGTCACTAACCTATCACTAAATGGCATATCCTAACCCACCCTCACGGGCTTAACACATGAGCATCTGGAAACTTTTTGGATTTTTCCCTGATAAGACTTAACCTTGCTTTATGCTTCCTCTCGAGTTCAATTATGAAAATGACTTAATTTGAAAATACATTCTGTATTTAGTATCTTGGCACCTAAGCTTTTTGAAGCTATGTTCTGTGTGTGTAGAAAAGTTCAAAATATGCCTTTTTATTTTCTGAAAACACGTTAATTAGATATGACATTATCTTTTCTTTGGTTAGGGTCCAGAACTGTCCAGGAGAAAAGCCATGTTTATATAGCTCTCAGATTAAAAGTCACTTTGTATGCCTTTTCAGCAGTCTGGATTCCCTCCGAGAAGACTTGGGCCATGAGGACAAATTCACTTCTGAACACAGGATCTGACTTGCACCAAATGTGATAGTCTCTCACCTCATTTTTCTAGGTGAGAAACTGGCCCTCAAATAAGCATTAATAAAGATACACTTTCAAGTCTGTTAAAGTAATTCTATGCATGCTAAGAACATGGATAGCGCAATCCATCAATGATAGAACATCCAGAATAGCCCCTCTTAAGTAACCTGCAATACATTTATTCCCTCATCCAATAAATACATACTGATCACCTGCTATGAGCCAGATTCTGAAAAATACAATGTGTAAGTAAGAAAGAGATAGTACCTGAGAATTTGTACCTACATATCTAGGTGTGTGTGTGTGTGTGTGTGTGTGTGTGTGTGTGTGTGTGTATGTGTGGAGATGGAATATTAATCAAATTAATCAAATAATAATGACAACACACTGCAGTGTCCTTAAGGTAAGTAGTAAGGAGAAGCCTCCGGAAGAACATTCCATTAATGGAAACAGCATGTGCTAAGTCTGCAAAGCGAAAGTGAGCTTGGCCTGTTTGGAGAGGTAGCTAGTGTGGCCCAGCAGGGGGTGGCGTGGCTTGAGACGAACCTGGAGACCAAATAATGCAAGGGCCTTGTGGGCTACTTTAAGGAGTTTGGGTTTCACTCTTAGTTCTGGGGAGGAGGAATCCATTAGTGAATTTAAAGCAGGGATGTGCCAGGAGCCAACTTATTTCCAGAAAGTTTGGTTTGGCTACTGTCTGGAGAATAGGTTGATGTGGGTGGGAGTAAAACCAGAGAGCCAGTCAGGAAGCTACTGTGCAGACCAGGTGAGGGACCCGGGGTGGCTTATACAAGGGGAAAAGCTATGACAAGGGGGAGGGACAAGTAAAGTCAAAAGGTATTTTGGTGCCAGATATGATAGGCATTGCTGAAAGGCTGCATGGGGGCAGAGGAGGAAGAAGAAAAGGGGAAGGGGGAAGGGGGGATG